AAAGAAAACAGGTACAGAATTAGTATTAAGGGACTTCCTTAATTAAAATTACCAAAAAAAGAAAAAAAATATATATCCTTTTATTTCCACTCCACCCTTTGGCTGAATTTTATTAATATAATATCTGCCCTTTTTAATCCCTCTCTTAAGAAAAGCATCACTCCCTAGTCACTCAAACCAAGCCTCCTGTTCCTCTTCCTCCTTGACCCCCCACCTATACCTATGAACTGTTAACAGACATCTTTTTATATTTCTCTGGAATTAATCTCTTCTTCATTAGAGTTCTCTTTTGCAATTCCATTTCTTCATAAGTGTGGCGTGTGAAATTTTAACTGTTCTGTTCCAGTTTTGTCGTCTTCAGTCAGTGGTAACAGCTCCACATCTGTTTGCTTTCGCAGTTCTTCTACCAGGGTCATAGTCTTATTCAAAGTAGTATAAATGCGGCTCTTAGTCTCCTTCCGTTCAATAACAACAGGTTTAAAATGTGCATACAAAGTTTGGTATTGAGACTTTATTGCTGACAATTCCTTTAAAAGCGTTACTGGATTTTTCTTTCCTGCTGAATCATAGTGATTAGATTTGATTTCATATTCCGGCATGTACTGAATACAATCCAGATCAGAGTCAGCTTTCTGGAACATCAGTTCCAGTTTATCGACCTCTGCCTCCATGTTGCATAGTTGACATCCGTCAGACCCCGGCACTGCTTAAACTGCAAAGCTTTCTAGCACTGGGGATTTCTATTGGACAGCTGTCATTCGACATCTTACATTCATTGGCTCTTCTATTTCATCTGCGCCCGCCTATTGGCAACTGGGCAACGCCCCTCCGCTTGAAACAAATTTTCTTCTTTCCTCTCCAGCTCTTCCCCCTGCCCCGCCTTAGTTTTCAAGGAAAAAAAACATAGTTTAGCTCTTAGTTCTGTAGGGCACATGCAGCCTGTTGCTAGGGAGTTACAATAAGCCTGCTGTTTAATCTCAGTTTATATCAACTCCCTTCCATTTGTACCGTGTCATACTTGTATGTTGAAAGCAAAATAACCCACTTGTCATGGATTGCTCCCGTTTTGTATCCTCATTTATATGTGTGTGTGTGTGTGTGTGTGTGTGTTAAATGATTAGACTAATGATTCCATCAGCTCTTTTTGCTCTTTGCTAGATCATATCTTGCTCCTTGACCCAGCCCTGTCTTCACCAGGTGTCTGCTCAGCATTTTTACTCTTTTGTTTGCCTAAAATGTTACAGAGATGAAATCATACAATCTGTAACCTTCTGGGGTTGTGGTCTTCAGCTAGGATGATTCAGCAGTTTTGCATTTTCGCCCTTATCCCGGAGTTTGGTCCGTCACTGGTTTCTGCACACTGCCAGCTGCTTTATTCTGCAGCTGGGGCTAGCCAGCCTTAGAAGGGTGCATTTGGGATCAGGTTCGTTGTGAGAGCCGGTCAGTGGGAGCTCGGGCTGCTCAGTGAATCTTGAACAAGTGAGGGTCCTGGTGTTTAAAAAGGCAAACAAATAAAATAGGCAAGAACTGTGATTTTCAAATTGTTTGTTTTTGTAGTTCTTGTACCACAACAGGAGTTGATAAGTGAACAGGCTGAAAGCTTCAGAAAATATAATGTGCAAAATATCATATATTATTAAGAAGTGTTCCCAGACTGGTCCTGTTTTGCCCACTTATGCCAAGGGCTGAGAGGAATTTTGCAAAACAAAGTTTATTCTGAAGGGTTTTGAGTGTGCAAGGGGAGACATACAAGTTTCAAATCTGCCTTCCTGAGGACAGGGCTTGGGAATATAAAGAAGTAAGGTGCCAAAAAAAGCAAGGTGCTTTAAGGCAAGGGGAAAGGTGAGTGCAGGCAAGTAATCAGTGGTCTATGTGTGCTTCATCAAACTTCATGGTTCTGCAGGGGGGAAAGTTCTCATGTTCAGGAAATTTCATTATTAACCTGGTCTAACAATTTTTGACTTCCTGTTATCCAGTTGCCCACTGGACACTTGTACAGACCCAGGTCAAGTAAGTTGTTTTAATAGAAGCTGCCTTCAAGTCCCTGAAAAACAACCAAAGCAACCAGTATTGCTGGTGTCTCCTCCATACCCCACATATAACAGGTATCGTTTACAGCAAAGTTGTGGGAGATTAGTAACACTGTTTTCCCTGCTGCACAGACACAAGTTTTAAATAATTAATATGAATTAAAAGCTGGGGCGTAAGTCAGTTAACATACTGGAAGACCCAAACAAACATACTGTCAGGGTCTAATAAAATGCAAGGGACAAAAACAGACCCTCAAACAATGAGAGAGACCTAAGAGGAAGTAAAATACAAATAAAACTGTTCACACTCTGGACATTAAAGGCCTGCCTGCAACTAGGAGCATCCCTGCTTTCTGTCATGTACATCAAACCATGTAAAGATCATTGAGTCTAAACTTTCACAGTTAGCCAGGGAATATGGCTCAGCGGCATAAGCATCTGCCTGGCAAGTTCAAGGTCCCGAGTTCGAACCCTGGTGCCACCAAAAAAAAATTCACTCTAAACTTCCATAGTGTCTACCTAGTGACTAGCAGAAAACTTTTTTTTCTTTTCTTTTTTTTTTTTTTTTGCAGAACCAGGGATTGAACTCAGACAAGCACTTATACTACTGAGCCATCTCCCTGGCCATGAGCTTTTTCTTTTATTCTTTCTAATGAACATGCATTTAGCCCTCCCCATCTCTTGATGGTTGCTGTTTTGTGGGCTTCAATCTTTATTGCCCCAAACAAGGACCTGAGAGTAAGAAGGATCCAATTGCATCTTTGGTGGCCAAATGGGACATTTTCTTCTCTACAGAGTGGTAGGTGTGGTGGAATGGCTGAACATTCAGGAACACAATCTTTCTGTCCCTCATAGAATGCTAAGAAATAGGGGTTACTCTGCCAGCTAAACACTTGCAGAACAGCTGCCATTCTTGAAACAGCTGGATAGCTTTTCTGGCACCTTCTGCTGGATCCCACATGAAAGCCAGTGGCAATGTCATACAGACAGACAGCTAGCTGGATTCTTTCCAGAGACAAATCTCTGGTGCATGGAACCAGTAAATTCTGAGAAGCAACTGAGGGGCCATGGCTGGGGCATCTCTTCAGTGGTCACACAAAGCTCTTCAGTGGAAGCTGAGTCCCAACTACCTGACTGAGTAACCACTGGAGGAATTTCTGCTTATTGACCATCCCCACCTGCACGCCTCTGTGAGGTGAGAGGTAAAGCTCTCTCAGTGTACTCCTGGTATCTGCTGTCCCAGAGTGACCTGAAACAAAGCTGTCAGAGCCCTTTCTTAAGCCTCCATTAAGAGTCAAGTTACTGGATTGAACTTTTCTCTCTTTGTTAGTTTGACAGACCCACCCTCCCTTCAGATATGTCTTGATGCATTTATAGGGCTATGTATATTGTAAGATGTATTGATACTCGGAGGTATGTCTCTATTGTGTCTTTTCTTTGTCTATTCTTTTTGCAAACAAAACCAAAATTGTGATGAACACTTATGCTTGTGGGGCCAGCCAAATAGCTTAGCGAACTAAAGTGCCTGCTTAGGTAGAGCCCAGCAGCAGGGGTTCAATCCCTGGCGTGCCGTGCCCCACCACCAGGGCACACTGAGACATCGATTGAGACTGGGTGTGGTGGCGCATGCCTATAATCCTAGCACTTGGGAGGCTGAAAACAGAAGAATCACTCACTATGAGTCCAATCTACATAGTGAGACCCTATAGTCCCTGTACCCTGAAGACCCTGTACGAAATACAAAAAAAAAAAAAACCCAAAAAACATTTATGCTTGTGAACTGAGGTACTAATGTATGTAACTAGGCTAAGAAGACAGCCAATATTTTAGCCCTGGTCCTTCAAGGTCGACAGAGAACCAAGACCTAAGAAAACCTCTTTAAGGATCCTACAACTCTAGTCAGTCACACAACCTAATGAACAGGAAAACTGGTAGAACGCTGTGAAAAAAGAAGTCACCAAAGAAAAAGTGTCTTCCAAGCTTCTGTAGGGACAAAGGGTTACAAAAAAGGAAATCTTTTATTTTCTTGCATTTAAAAAAATTTTTATAGAACATAAAAAAATGTATTATGTTCATAACTTCATACAGTTGACAACATAGAGAGCAGTAAAGATTGTCGGGCTTGTCACATATACACACATCAAAAAGTCTCATTGAATTAAAAGACAAAATGAAGGATCAGGAGCAGTGGTCTGAAATCTACTCGTAGGATTTTAGGATTTAACCAATAACAAGAAGTATGAAATTTCAGACCACAGCAGTGTTGACAACAAAAGAATGATAAATACGAGGGCACATATTTTCACATTAAAAACAGTGAAAGCTACATGACCGAAATTCAAACCTAAACATTATACAGAAAAAAAAAAAAAAAAAAAAAAAAAAAAAACAATTCAAAATTAAGAAGCAGGGCTGGGGAGATGGCTCAGTAAAATAAGTGCTTGCCTGGAGAGCACAAGGGACTGAGTTCAATCCCTGGTTCCAAAAAAAAAAAAAAAAAGAAGCAGATTGGAGGCCAAATAAAGATCTGTC